TGCAGCCATTTTGCAAGGATGAGAGAAAGAAAAACACTTTTAGGGATTACTGAACATTGGCTCTGAGCTAGTTAATCAATGAAAACCCAAGCTTTTACTATGGCCCACTGGTCAGAATACAAGCTAATGGGAGCCAGGGGATAAGTGAGTTTTGCAGACTTAGTCACTCTTAAAGTAGATCTGGGACTTCCACAAAACCATCTTGTTAATATTTCTCAGTTCTCAAAATAGAGTTTGAACAGAAATACTCAGCAACTGGAAAACCCTCCATATTGGCCTTTGACCCCTATAATAAAAGTTTAAATTATGGTAGAAATGACCAAACACATGCCTCAAAAGGTATCTGTGCTCTCAAAATGTTGAATCAAAGGCAATACCATATACCTGGGGTAATCACAGAGATTAATGTCATCATCTGACTGTTATCATATTCTCATCAAGTTCACCTATCTGGACTTTGCAGAAGAGAGATGGATCTTGCACAATGACAAAGAATTATTTTACATTAATTTGGACTGTCACATGATAAGGATGCTATAATTTGGTAGAGAAAATCAATTCAGCACCTAGAGTGTAGCTGGAATGTAGCCATTGATCTGACCAATTCTTTTTTCTCTGTCTCAATAAATAGAAAATACTAGGTGTAGTTTGTTTTCATCTGGCATGGATAGATGCACACTTTCACTGGCTGCACTACCTAAGAGCAATGTGAACTCACTAACTGTGCCATCATTTATTCCACAGAACGTCACAGAGGACTGTAAATTGACAACTTTGGGCTAATGCAACTCAGTGCACCAGAAGAGTAAGTATACTAGATGTGTTCATAACATGCCCCATACATATCAAAAAGATAGAAGATAAGAAAAATACAAAAAACTATTACTTTGGTGAAATTTCTACAGACCAATGATCTCAGAACTTCTTGAAATGTCACCACCAACATAATAGAAAAGTATTGCACTACACATCCCCTACCACTAAGAAAAGGAAGCTGTGCTTGCTCAATTCTTTGTTATTTTGTAGAAAATACACATGACATTTGGTTATGCTCCTCCAGGTAGTTAACTGGTCTTATGAAAGTCTTCAAGCTTTGAGTGTGGTACAGAGCAATAGAAAATTCTCTAGAAGATCTATGCTATAGTACATTTCCTCAAATTTCAAAGTACAGTATCTTCTTCAGTTAGTAACGATAGCATTTTTCCTTTGAGAAACTCTTGGTTTGCTATTAGACCCTGGTAGAGACTGAATGTTTGAGAACAGTATACCACATGACTATAGACGTTAAGCTGCCCACCATGAATATGTGTTATCTCATCTACTGAGCTATAGTCAGCTATTCCCTGCAGCATTCCATCATCCCTAGGAAACTGTTTATATTTGAACAAGCTCAAGTAGGTCCTGAAAACACAAGTTGCAAGAGCAGATGACTCATATTCTCAGTGCATCTACTCCTGCCAAGTTGCTATTATTCTCCCAAACCACACCTCTGCTTCAGTAAGAAATCTCTATGACTAGGTGACTGAGAAGAAAAATACCCCAGTTTTCTATCAACTCTGATGGACATGACAATACTAAGAAACACCCTATAGGAACCTCTATGTTATAGAAGTATTCTTCTGGCCCACATCATGTAGCCATATCTCTTTGTCCTTTTTAATGCAGCTCAATTACCTCTCCTATAGAAGTGGACTACTATATCATGACAATCTAATTCAGGGGTGCCCTAATGGTCAGTGTAGAAAAATAAATATTTCCAGTGGACAGGACTCCAAACAATACTCATTATGATCTATTTATCTGGAAAGGGAGATAAGCTACAGGTCTACATTAATCTATGGACAATAACTAATAATTTCATCAGTGAGCCGGGGCTTTGGGGAGAATAAGACTGTAGAATTAGTGATAAAAAAGGATCAGAGAAAATACCCATCTAGACTTTTAGACTATGTTACAGTTTGTGACAGTTTATGTTCCATGTGAATACACAAAAAGACAGATACCTTATATAAAAGGTGTCAGTAGATGGTTGGACAAGATGATCTGCCATGCGGGTTCATTAACCTCTTTCCAGTCACTCAGTAATCATTGAAATATAAATACATATAAATTTAAATCAATATCTCATGATAAAAAGCGGTCATTGTTTCATGCATGCACTTAACAACTTAGATTTCCTCTCCCCTAGATGTCTAGGTATTACTTCTCCTGAGTGCCCAGTTTGAAAGCGACAGTGAACAAACATGAGCCCTGCCATATGGTACCATACCCCAAAAGGAATAACCAGCCACCTGATGGCAGGTTAATTACATAGGGCCTCTTCCAACATGGTGAGTGTTGGAATCTGTCCTCTCTGAAATTGATACATTCTAGATATAGATTTGTCTATCTTGTCTACCCAGCTTCTGCCAGCAACACCATCTGTGGACTTACCAAATGCTCACTTGCTGTCACTATAATTCACATAACATCACTTCCAGCTAGGGATCTTATTTTCTAGCAAAATTATTGGGACCTTAGATTGATGCATTTACGATATATTAAGATTTAACCAGAAGCAGTTGGATTCATAAAGCAGTGAAGTGACTTATTAAAGATTTAGTTTTGATGCTTATTGGGAGATACCTTACAAAAGTGAGGTGATCTTGTAGAATACAGTACATGTACAAAATGGTCACCAATACGTAGTGTTTTTTCAGCCATGGACAGAACATGTGAGCTTAGGAACAACAAAGTGAAAATGGGAGTGGCACTTCTCACTATTCCCTTAATGGCCCACTATTCTCTTATATTTCACATCCTTGCCCCTGCCAACTGCACTGGGTTAAGGATCTTAGTACTCAAGGAGGAATACTTGCACCAAGAAACACAACAGCATCTCAAACCACAAAACAAAGCAGACAACAGGATTACTATATTGGTTGCAGGGTTAAGCTGGTTTAAAAAGGAAGAATCACTACTACACAATGTAAACATAAAATAATATTTCCTTAACACAAGAATTCCCGTAGAGTGTCTCCTTAGTATTTCTACGTGCATTAGTAAATATTAACAGAAAACTAGAGCATCCTCATAGAAGCAGAGCCAACAAGGGCACAAATCCTAAGGAACAGGATTCCTAACTAAAGAGCCCCAGTTAAGTGAGCCAATACTGAGCTAAAGCTAAAAGTAATTGGAATCGTTAGTTGTTGGTGAGGAAAGTTACACACATCAACTGAAGACAATTTGCAGAAAGTATAACAGGCTTTCTGTTTTATCCTTGATTTATTAAGTATATTTTGATAGTATTTAGTATACTTAGTATTACTTTATAATTTAGTCCACATATTGAAAATATCAAGACACGTGGCTCAGTTGGTTAAGCATTGACCCTTGGTTTTGGCTCTAGTCATGATCTCACAGTCCATGGGATCGAGCCCCACACTGGGCTCCATGCTGACAACATAGACCCTGCTTGAGATTCTCTCCATCTCACTCTCTGCCCTTCCCTTTCTCTCCCTCTCTCAAAATAAATAAAAAAAACTTTAAAAACTACTTTATTAAAATATATATCAAGGCAGAATTGAGGAAATATAATTATCATTACATATATTAAACCTGGAAAATATTATTCTAAATAATCTGAGAGTCTCCTCATCTGGGAAGAAGGTGCAGATTGTGTTTGTATGAGGAACTGTCACCTTATTAGGTAGGAACATAGTTTTTTGCTATTGCTGTTTTAAATCTGGAAAATGGATATATGTCCAAATAAAGGGTGACGTCCGTCTATCTTGACTGCTCAAAATACTTTCAATATTCTCTTTGCTTTCAATTGTTTCCTGTCTTGTAAAACTTACTTTGCCAGGTGGAGTCCCCAAAACTACATCTTTACAGACTCTTTTACAAACAGTGCAAGCCATGTTATCTGGTTTCTACCATGTAGGAAAATAGGATCTGCATGGGGAACTCATTTTCTGGTGGGGTGAATGGCACCAGAAGTAGAGGTAGTGATGGAGGCTTTCTCTCTAATCCATGAAATATGATTTGGGAGTCAGTGGCAGTGACAGCTTCCTCCACAGAACAGATCTGTGGCGTGGTTCTGATGTCCAAGGTGGTGACAAACGACAGCTCCCTCATCAGTCCAATTCTGTGGTGTGCCTCAAGGTATCATTCCTGGAAGCTTAATCTATTTTTCCAACTCTCCTCATGACCCCATGTAGGAGACCCAACAGTTTGTCATTTGAACTAAGACACATTTGGGAGGGAAAGAGGATGCTATTAATAATGTCAAGGATAAACTAGAATTACACTGAACAGATGAGTTATACAGTGACTCTAATGCTATGACTTATTTCATACATTTTGCTGATTGAATTAGAACAGACTTTTTTTTTACTAAGAACCATAAACAAGATACCATTGGATTTTTAAGATTATAAAATCTTAAAATTTTATAAAGAATGAGTTAACAATATAAGTGGACCCTACGTACTATATTATGCCTACATAGTACGGGGAGAATATTCTATTCTACAAATTCATAAAGCAAGTTCAGATTAATTCAAATTCATAGTATGTATTATATCAATATTAGTTAACTTAATGTAGCCATATGCTTGTTGCCTACAGAACCATGACTCACACTGATGTTATATGTTCTTAATGAAGCCTCGGGACTGGAAATAAATTATCTTGTGATGTTTTTATAAATAGTGATTCACTAACATGTAGGTGAGTTAAGATTGTTAAATGCAACATTACTAGGATAGAATATACACTTTAAGAAATCTTTACGTTAATGCCCACGTTAAAATTGTCATTATCTAGTTTCTATATAAGTTGATATTTTATGCTATAGACATATAGCTAAATGCATATCGTTCTATGCTATAAATATAAGTATTTATACTATAATACTATTAATGTCAGAAATCCCCAAAGAAAAAAATATCAGCTTCATTCATCATTCCGGTGTCTTCATTCAAAAAATATTACTGCACGGTTATTGGCACTTTACTTACTCATTCAGCAATTCATATAGGCACTAGGCTCACAGCTGAGAAGACCGTGATGAGCAAAGCAGACATGGTCTTAGAGACATGGGTCTAGGAGTCACAAACAGGAAAGGCAGCAATCAAATCATAATACAAATAAATATACGATTTCACATTGAAATCAGTGCTGCAGAGGAAATGCATACGATGCTCTGAGGCCCAGGGCGTGTGGCGAGTCAGGGAAGATCTTTCTGAGGAAGTGGCATTGAAGCGGACACCTGAAAATGACAAGATGATAACCAAGAGTGGGAGTTGGTGTGGGGGAGAGGCAGCTCTAGACACAGAGGAAGTAAGAGGCTATGAAGCAAACCTGGGCATGCACTTCTTTTCAAAGCACTGAAAGGAGATCTGTGCAACTGGAGCTGAAAGCCACGGCAAGGGGAACCTCAGGGACACTTAAAGGCAGTGGCCACCCCACAAGGCCCTGGGGAGATGAACAGGAAGGAGGCCTTGCCCAAGTCCCTTCTATTCTAATGCATCGGGTAGGTCAGTAGCAGCACCGCTAAACAGAATACCCAGAGTGCAAATACGGTTCTGAGAGAAAAGCTGGCGTGGAACTTCTACCTGAAATTGTAAAAAAGCAGAGAAAGATGGCGAGGGAAGCTCACAGCAAAGTCCTTGTGGGAAAGCCAAAATTAGGAATTCGGACTGCAAACCATCAGCACCAAAGATGACGTTTAGTGAAAGATGCCGGACTGAAATATATATCTACCAATCCTCTCTTTCCCAAATCCCTCAGCCTATGGGGAAAAATAACAGTAATAATTTTCACTCATAAAAAATAATTGTGCTGAGGGGCGCCTGGGTGGCTTAGTCGGTTAAGCGTCCGACTTTCCGACTTTCGCTTAGGTCATGATCTCGCGGTTCGTGGGTTGAGCCACGCGTCGGGCTCTGTGCTGACTGCCAGCTCACGGCCTGGAGCCTGTTTCAGTCTGTGACTCCCTCTCTCTCTGACCCTCCCCTGCTCACGCTGTCTCTCTCTCCTAGAAATAAATAAAACATTAAAAAAAAAAAAAAAAGAATAATTGTGCTGAAAAACAAACCAAAAAAATAAATCATTATCATCACCTAACCAGAAATTTGAGGAAGAACAAAGTAGATGGGAAATTGAAGGGGAATAAGAGCCAGTAAAACCAAAACAAAATCAACAAAAGCCCCACCCAGCCTAAAACACAAACAGGAGAAGAGCATCTAAGTAAATTTGTAGTTTATAAAGATTGTTTATAATCAAAATTACCATTGAAAAGAGCTTTATCTTCACCGTACTTTTTGTATCTTTAAACGTAGTGTCTTATGCATGTATCATGTTGGGAAGAGTTTCAGGAGGCCAGGGCCTTCTAGGGGGTTAGAACACCTGAAAAAACAGCCTGAGAAATTGATCTCCAATTCAACCGTTCTTACAGTAAGCACTCAGGAATGTGCTGGGGTGGTCACGAGTCAGTTTGCATCTGGTGAACATTAGAAACTGAACCCAAGTCTCCAGCACAGTCAGTCCAGAGTGACCAAAAGGGAGTAAAAACCTCTGAGTGAGATTTAAAAAGACCTCTTAAAAACCCTTCCGAGTTCTCTCTGTCAACAGGTGGTGCTACCAGCAGCCAGACACCTCTGTGGGAGGTGACAGTCAGGTAAGCTGTCACTCCAACAGGTAGGCTGTTGTGCCTTTTGCCCTCAGAACTGTATGGACAGAACGACATATCTTTTCTACTCCCAGATGAAGAAGTCATGTTGTATACCTGAAAGTTTGGTGTCTTCCAGTCAACCAGATCATCTTCAGAAAAACTGCACAATCATCTGTTTAAAAAAGTAAGTGAAAAATTATCCTCGAAAAGCTCTTGAGAAAGGGCCACATTGCAGACAATCCAGATATCTCTTAAGCACCCAGCACAAGTGATTTTTCCTTGTTGGAACAGAATATTTCCTTGGTTAAACCCCTTACATTTTAGAAGCTGTGTGGTAAAAGAAGACAAAGCTATATCTTTAATCATTATTGTCACAATAAATGTTATGAATGCTTTTACTACAAGAGGTGTATGGACGCCAAACATGATGGAAAGAACAACAGATTTACATTTCCCCTTTGAGATTTGCTTGTACTGGGACAAACCTGCTTGAACAGAACGACAGGCAAAATCATCTGTCATATTTAAAATTTTGTTTTTATTTCTGTTTCCCTTACAATGTAATTGAATTCTGGAAAATTAAGTATGGAAATAATATAACTCCACTGCAAAAATAAGAGCCATTCCAAACAGACCCTAAGCTTAGAGGCAAGAAAAATAAAAAGTGAAGTGGCTTCGGCACAATTGTCCGAGTGGTTCATTAAATTGTGGTGTTTGAATAAACTGTACGAGTCAGCTTTTTCTTTTCCCCTGAAAGTGGGGAAAAGTGGCTACTGCTGTTTGCCCCTCGACCACCAGCACCAACACCAAACAGTGTGCCGACTGTATGAGTGCAATGAGTGCTAGAGCTGGAGAAAGAAGAAAAGCAGTGAAGTGACTCCAAACCCCCACATTGGCAGGAGAGAAAGAAAGTAAAAGGAGAAATGGAGTAGATAAATCAGGCACTTGTCTCCAGTACAGAATTTTTAGGTGTTGTTCTACAATGTGGATTTTCTGACACCGGAAGATCTAATTGGGGCCAGAAAAGCAGTGAAGAATGCCAGATAATTTAAGTTGCCAAAAAGTGATGGGGAGCCCAGACCTCACATCCAAAATCAAGCTATTCACAGGGACACCTGGAGGAATACATCACTGAAGTGTCTGAGTGGTGATCTCAGCTCAAGTCATGATCTCACAGTTCATGAGATTGAGCCCCAAGTTAGTGCAGAGCCTGCTAGGATTCTCTCTCTTTCTCTCTCTCTCTCTGCCCCCCCACCCCGCTCATGCACCTGCTCTCTCACTCTTGCTCTCTCTCAAAATGAATAAATGAACTTAACAACAACAACAAAATCAAGCTATTCACAGACTGCCTAGTCACACGTCCTGCCCAATCCTTAAAGAGCACTGACAATCACTAAACATTTGGGGAAACAATGACCAAGAATCTACTTAAGGAAAATTACCTTTCAAACAAATGAGAAATCTTATAAGTTAAAATATGTCCTTAGCAATGTACCAGATATCTAATGCGACATAACAAACTACCATCCTGTGGCTAAACACAAGCATTTTACTATATTTCCCCATTTTGTGAGTCAGGAAATTGGGCAAGTATCAGTGGGGTGACTTTTCTATTCCTGTGTCATCAGCTGAGGTCATTTGATTATATGCAGCTGACAGACAAACTGGGCTAGAGTTTCCAAGACAGACTTATTCATATGCCTGCTGGGGGTGGCTGGAGGAATGGACTTAGCTGGAACTGTGAAACAGAACACGTACAAGTTGCCTCTTAACGTGGGAGCTTCAGAGTAGTAAAACTTCTTACAGGATGGCTGGCTTCTCCAGAGCAAAGATTCCAAGAAACCCCAGTGAAAGAGTCTTAGGGCCTAGAATTTCTTTGGAAATCCAAGACTATCATTCTGCCCACATTCTAATGGTCAGACACAACTAAGGCCATGCCAGATTCAAAGGCAGAGAATAAGAGCCCACTTCTCATTGGGAGGAATAGCAAAGAATTTGTGACCGTGTTCAATCTACCAGTTCAATTCCACTTATGGCCTTGGTGGAATATATGCAAGGTCAATATACAGAATTCACTTGCATTTATATGTATTAGCAACAAATAAGGAAGTGAAATGTAAATAGCATCATTTATGGTAGCATCAAGACACAAAAAAACTACTTAACAAAGTATATGCAAGACTTAGATTTTGAAAACTATGGAATACCGCTAACAGAAATAAGAGAAATCCTAAGTAAATGGAGAGATATACAATGTTCATGGCTTGCAAGACTAAATACTGTTATGATGTAAATTCTCCCCAAAATTATTTACAGATTTAATGTAATCTCAGTCAAAATTTAGCAGATTTTTTTTGCAAAAACTGATATACTGATTCTAAACTTATATGGGACTGCAAAAGACCAAGAATAATCACAACTATTTTGAAAAATAAAACTACAGGACATACACTCTCTCCTGAGTGTATGACATACACTGAGTCTCCTGACATACACTGACATACCTGATTTCAAGACTTACTATAAAGCAAAATTATGATATTGGCAAAAAGATAGATGTAAGATTAACAAAAGAAAATTGGAAGTCCAGAAATAGACCTAAACATATATGGTCAGTTCAATTTCTACAAAGGTGCCAAAGTAATTCAACAAGGAAAGAATAGTTTTTTCAACAAATTTGCTCAAGTAATGTTTCCAATTAGGGGGAAAAAAGAACCTTGAACAATTCTTTGCATCATACACAAAAGCAACCATAGAAGAAAAAATTATAAATACTTCATGGAAATTAAAATGTTCTCTTCTTCAAAAGACAGTACTTTAAAAAATAAGAAAATAAAATAGTTAAGCCACAGGCAGGGAAAAGCTATCTGCAACACATATAAAGATCTTGTAACCAGAATCTTTACAAATCAATAAGACAAATGACTCAATTTAAAAATGGGCAAAAAGGTTTGAACAGGTATCCCAAGGAAGACATACGAATGTCCACAAAGCACAGAGAAAGATGCATGACATCATTACACATTAGGGAAATGCATGTTTAAACCATAATGAAGTACATGCCTATGGGTAAAATTTTTAAAATCCTGAAAATAATAAATGTTGTTGAAGATGTAGAGCAAATGTAATTCTCATACTTTGCTGGCATGAATGCAAAATAATAGAGTTACTTTAAAGTACCATTTGGCAGGTTCTTATAAAGTTAAACATGTATTTACCATACAACCTAGCAATTTCACCCCTTGGTATTTACCTAAGAGACATAAAAGCATATATCCACACAAAGACTTGCAAGTGAATGTTCATAGTAGCCTCATTCATAATAACCTCAAACAGGAAACAACCCAAACACCCATCAACTGATAAGGTGATAAAGAAATTGCAACATATCCATGTGATGGACTACTACTCAGAAATAAAAAGGAACAAACTACTACTATATGCAACAATATGGGTGAATCACACAGACATTATGATTAGCAAAAAAAAAAAAAAAAAAAATAGCTAGAGGCGTGCCTGGGTGGCTCAGGTGGTTCATCATCCCACTCTTGATTTTGGTTCAGGTCCTGATCTCACATGTGAGATCAGGTTCTGCATCAGGGTTCTTCCTCTCTCTGTCCCTGTACCCCTCCTCTGTTCTCTCTCACTCTCTCTCTCTCTCTCTCTCTTTCTCTCTCATTAAAAAAAAGCTAGAAATAAAAGACTACATAGTATATGATTCTATTTATGTAAAGATCTAGAACATGAAAAACGAAATCTATATTGATAAATTGCAGATAAATGGTTGCCTGATATGAGGAGAATGAGGGAGTATTGACTGCACCAAGGCACAAGGAAACTTGGAAGTGATTGAAATGTTCTACATCTCAGTTGGAGTAGTACATATTCTATATACATGAATATCTTTGTCAAAACCCATCAAACTACTTAAAATATGACTTGTATGTATATCACACCTTTATAAAGTTGATTTTTCAAAAACAAAAACCTTTCTTTTATGAATGAGAAAAGTGAAATTAAAAGTTCAATAGGTAGGATAAATATGGAATATAGACTCAATTGAAGAGCAAATCAGTGAATTAAAAGATCAAAAGCAATGTTTCTTAGCCCAAAAGTTCATGGCAATCTCAAATATTATAGAGTAGCAGGATATTTTGGAAAACTAAAAAGTTCCAGCAGTCATCAACAGAAGTTCTATAAAGAGGAAATAGAGAGGAATAATTTTTTTAGAAGAAAAAAACAATTTCCCAGGGCTGAGGAAAGTCAAGAGGCTTCACACTATAAGTACCACTGGCTGTGGAAAAATAAGGACAAATGAGAAAAAAATTAGTTTTTAATTCCAACATAAATACTAGTGAAATTTTAGAATTCTCAGGAAAACAAGAAAATTCTAAAAGCTTTTAGACCCAAAACATCCTAAAACAGAAAATGGATTGTTTGGAATCAGATTTCACATTGGCAACACTGATTGTCAGAAGACAATAGTGTCTTTAGCATTCTGTGAAAAAAAAAAATGATTTGTAGTCTAAACTTTTGAACCAAGTCAAACCAGAATCCACTTATGAGGGTAGACTAAAGATATTTTCAGACACACAAGAACTGAGAAGTCACCCTCCTGAGGCTGTTGCTGAGTACCTCAGATCTTTCCACTTATTTCCATTTCCCCTTGATTTATTGCTGCCTAATCTCTCTGTCTCTGGTCCTGGACCATCCCATACCTTTTCACTTTTCAGCTGAGGTGAATTTCACTGAATTTCTTCTCCACACTCATCTCCAGCCACTCTCCTTTTCTCTCCTTTTCTGGTCTTCTGGGAGTCCTTTCTTCTCCCCCACTTCCCTCTGAGCTATCATCTCTAGAATGTATCATGTACCTTCGATTACCTTTGCTGGGAGATGATCTTCTCCTGCCTCGTTCCTCATCTTTCTTCAGGTCTTTCATGGTCTTAGAATTAGAAAAGTGTTCATGTGCTCTATTTCCTCAGAAAAGTGCTCCATGGAACCTCACTCCCATCCCTGCCTCTCCAGCAGATTACATAGTGATCCTAATAGGACCTGTACTTTTACTTATGATCATAGTAATTATATAGGACAGCTATAACTAAAAATGTACTTGTATAATTATTTGTTTAATGTTTTTTTTTTCTCCCAATAGACAGTAAGCTCTACTGATGTAGT